AAGATACTGTCGCATTAGATGACTACGAAGCTCAGACGGGCCGAAACATTGCTTCCGAAGCGTTAAGGGCAGGAGATAGACGGCCTCCTTAAAAGGGAGGAGAGACCTTTTATGACAGTCTTGGGCTTCGCCCAGTCTGTGTGTTGTGGCCTTGCGGCCTAAGGCAGAAGGGATGGGTAGACCGTTTGCCCATAGATGTAAATAGCAGATCGCAGTAAGAGAGATCTTCTCCTTCTCTCTTTAGCAATTCAACAGCGTTACCAGCTTACCAAATCCTTCGTGGTTTGGGCCCATGACACCATTTCGGTTTTTCGTTCCATGCGTCCCATCCTTCATATTGTACTCGGTACATAATACAGCCCTTCTATCCTATCGCTTTGTCCTTCCTTCTATTATCGATTCTACAGTCTACTACCTTTTTTACTTCGTAGTCTGCCCGAGTTCCGTCGTTATTTTGGTTTTCGGCTTCTGCTCTTAGAGGTCGTTAGCCATCGAATAGCTTGCTATCATCGAGTCGGAGTAGCTACGGGTAAAATATAGGGTAGACTCCTTCGAGGGCGTTCGATAAGAGGTCCAGTTTATAAGTAAAGTAATCGATCGCTCGAGTAATCTGGAACGGCCTAATATTCTTTAAATCGAGTGATTTCGAAGGTCGAGCTGAGTTAAGGTACCGAGTGTCTAAGTAGACCCAATCACCTACTTTGAACTGCGGAGCCCCCATTCAAGCTAAACAGGAGCACACTTTACCCTCACCCTAATATATCTTTGTCTATTGCGGGAAGTTAAGATAGCCTTTGTTTCTGACACTCGTTAAGATTTATATCCTTGGGTAGCATTCTTAAACGCAAGAATATCCCCTTTAACCGCCTCTATGGCCTCATTGCTCTCCTTAAACACCCCAGCACCTATCTGCGCGTACGTTTTCATTGTGTCAGAGTCGGCCTGATACCCGGGCCATGCGGTATTGATATACGTTGCCAGTTTTAGAGCCGGCCTCTCAATTTTTCTGATCAAGTCCTGATATATGACCTCAAGCTCCGGTGGATATGCACCGGTTTGTTCACGGGTTACTGTAGGACGGGGACCGGTCGGCGCGGCGTATTTTCCATCATACAAGGGTGGACCTGGCGGGACCTTTCGGAGATGTTAGTCGGTGTAGCAGGGACGAAAAGACTGGGGTATGAAAAAGGCGCCACACGAATTTGCTATTCTCCTCCGTGAAGCCCTCCGTACTGTTTAAGTACGTCGCGGCAGGCGCGAAGGTGAAGCTCGGGTCTGTACCCTTGTATGGTCCTGGGAAAGTCACCCCCTCCGGGTTGGCGGTGCCGGATCCCGTGATCTCGATGCTAAAACAGTACGGGTAGATTTGGATCTGCTCCTTCAGATCATGGGACATGAGCTCCTTCATATTGCCATGAAGGGCGATGAGCTCGGCGCGGAGGATGTAAGTACCCGGTGCAATGTCGCTAGGGAGTCGGAGCTTGTACATATCGCCTTCGTCGTTGGCGAGCTGGTTTGCCCATTTATCTAATGACTCTGCTTAGTGCCTGAGCGGTATATGTGAGAAGCGTTACATACCAGCGGTAGCATCAAATCCCTTCTCGTAGATCTTAAAGAACTTGATATCATTTGGCGAGGTTTCCGGCGTGGGAAGACGGCCCAAATACGCAACCCCTGGGCCCCAGTGCATGCGTGTGATCGGCGTCCAGAGGAGGATCACCTCCGCGCCAGCACGAGCAATTGCCTTCAGCGCTGGTGCTATGGCATTCTTACGGCCTAAAGAACGGTTAGTTCCCGGCGACGTTGCTATATCTTGCTATATGCGCTTACAGGCAATGTCCGGGCTCGAGAAGTCCGTGACAGGATTAAATGTGGGGGGGACTACATCGTAGGTCCATCCGATGCGTTTAACCGGACCGACAAGATGGTCAATACGCTCGTCGAAGGGATGGTAGCTTCAGTAGAGTCAGCGAGTGCAAGTGATACAGTAGTGAGGAAGATTTACGCGTTTCCATCGATGACAATATTCTTAATGGTCGTATGGGCGCACACAGCGCCGACGAAGAGCAATAGTGAAAGTCTCATGATGATCTGTCAACTCGAAGGACTCAAGAATACTCCAAAGCCGATCTCGAAACGAGATTTGGAGTGGTTATAAGTATCTCTAGAAGCCATGCCGAAGCTCTTCCACGTCCAATTTCAGCATATGAAGCGGATAATACTGTCTTGCCAATGTGAACGGCATCGGTACAATCGGAGCCATCTCTCTATTGAGCTTTTACAAGTCACCGCATCAGCCCACGGGGTAGTACTATGACATTCTTGATGCTTCTTAGAAGTTTGGATATTGGCAATATAATGCTCGAAAGGGTAGGATCCGCCTAGAAGCCCAATATTAGTTGCCGTACGAGGAATACGAATAACTCTCCCCTGCAAGCTAGGTGAGGACGAGGTTCACCACTCCAGTTAATTGATTGTACCTGTCACAGAATATCTGTGTTTCTTGGCGTTTCAGCACGGCTTCATTATTACCGTACATATTTGATTATATACCCCTCTTTCTTTCGGTTTTTAGGGAATATATCATCATCGTAAACCATATAAAATAGTTCCAGGAACAGCCTGTTTTCGTACGATTCCTGCTCTTCAGGATCAATATCAATCTATCTGCGTTTTTGGCCTCTAATGTTATGGTCCCAGGCCTGCGGCCTGTTCCCTTGGTTGTGGCTGAAGACGTGGCTGGTGGATTATATCAGAGAAGCAAACAAACATGGTAACACAGCATTAGGGATTGGAGAGGTGTTGATCGTTTTGGCTGTTATGGGTTGAAACCCTTGGTTGACTAAGGCTGGGAGCCTAAGCCTGATTAGGTTAAAGGTTGATTCAGAGTCCAAACCTCTTCGATGTAAACGAGAAGGCTTCCCCTTCTTGTTCTCTTCTTTAGCTTAATCTAGAATACCTTTGGCTATGTGTATGTTGTGTGCATCCAGCTACCGTGCCGTAACATTGGCGTGTCAATCAATCACGGAAACAATAGGATACCTGTTCAGAGGCAGTGAGATGCTTGTATTCGGTCAGAAGTACATAGTTTACCTTGACGGGTATATATACCCAGGCTTATGTAATCTTATGTAATCTACAAGGTGCGGTGTGTGAGATAAATAGCGGTTTCGCTCAATCAGGTGATTACTGCAGCGACACAGTGGGAAAACACCGTTAGATTCCAAAAGAGCGTAGATAGATTAACCTTGATCCTGAAGAGTCGGATCCTACGAAAACAGGCTGTTCCTGCAGCTATTTTATATGCTTTACAATGGTGATCTTTTCCCTAAGAAGGGAAAGAATAGGGGTATAGAATCGAATACGGAATGAATCCGTGGGAAAACGCCAAGAAACACAGATATTCTGTGACACGGTGACTACGTAATAGCCGCGGATTGTGACAGTCTTGGGCTTCGCCCAGTCTGTGTGTTGTGGCCTTGCGGCCTAAGGCAGAAGGCTGAGGGATCGGTAGACCGTTTGCCCACAGATGTAAATAGCAGATCGCAGTGAGAGAGATCTTCTCCTTCTCTCTTTAGCAATTCAACAGCGTTACCAGCTTACCAAATCCTTCGTGGTTTGGGCCCATGACACGGATTTCCGATACACCCCCCTAGATCTAGAAAAGATTTGTATATCACAACCGTATCGCGGAGTTATCCTTCTGAATCAGTTATGTTCGTTTCAGTGATGGATATGATTATATCTCGTGGGATTATAATGAGATGCTGGATAGATCGCATATTCAGGTGCTCGAGGAATTTCCGGTGGTTCTAAGGGGAGAGTATCTTGATAAGTCCGTCGTGATATTTGGTGTACAATATGATCCTTAGTTATCAATTTATGAACTACCTGGAAAGGTGGGAAGTCTGCAGGATATATACTCCGCACCCAGATGCGGTTGACTAATCACCCCTTCAACAATCCTCTCCCCCATTTTACCTCAGACGTGCTTAGAGCGGAGCATAAGGATGTCGAGCCAACTCGACTCGAATTTCATCTGGGAGCAGCCATGATCCAGGCGGCTTGAAAGACCAAACTTTCGGTTCCATCTTTCGTATGAAAAATCTACGCGCCAGTTTGGTCTACTAACAATCGAGTCAATAAAGCGTGGATAAAGAGCTCCCGGCACGAGAAGATATGCTCTATGGCTTGTTCATCCGCTGCCCGTAGCCGTGAAATGAATTAAAACAGCTTGGTGGTAATATGAGGTAAGTCCATGCTAACAGTCGTCTCCAGGGATTGAATATTTTGTCTAATCAAGGGCTCCGTATAATCCAGACACCCGCTTGATGCGACAGTCGGAGGCTCGCATGTTAGGATGTCCATTTGGGCGACGCGTGTTGGATTTCGGCTTCTAATTGACTGGTATTGATGGTCTGATGGCGATTCCGAGCGCCTCTAAGTGTCATGGGCCCAAACCACGAAGGATTTGATAAGCTGGTAACGCTGTTGAATTGCTAAAGAGAGGAGAAGAAGATCTCTCTCACTGCGATCTGCTATTTACATCTGTGGGCAAACGGCCTACCCATCCCTTCTGCCTTAGGCCGCAAGGCCACAACACACAGACTGGGCGAAGCCCAAGCCTGTCACATTAAGGGAGAATTTCTGACGAGTGACCCTACTCCACTCCACCACAATATAATCTGAGGCGGAAAAAATATTATGAGAAGGACAATGTGCATTAGCATAATGTATTTGATGGATTTTTTAGCATACTAGGCCACTTGTTGTGAGTATTGAGCTGCTTCTGCACGACACGCCGGACGCCCATACAAATCGTTTCGGTCCTTTTACCCCAACATTATAAGTTCATTTCGATTTGTATATAAGTAAAACTAGATTCAAAAGATAGCCAGTAACCAAGATATATTGTCGAACATAAGCGCACTTTTGCTGAAGCCTCACGTTGGGAGTAGAGACCGAATTGGACACTTTTTTTTTGGAAAAGGTAGTTAACGCTAACTAACTAGTTAGTTAGATCACTAACGTATTCCACAAGCGAGCGGCCCATACAGGCGAGCGGCCCACCCCATTTTACTAGTAAATTCGATAAAATTCGATATCAATATCTCAGCAACCATTGGATAATATAGTCTGAAAACTTAGAATTAGGTTTTCCTATCCATTTCTAGCTTACTATTGAAATCTTAGAGCTTTATCTTTTATAGTTATAAAGATATAGAGATTTGGTCTCTAAATCTTGCCAAGAAGTAGGCATCTCTATACCTGTAAAAGCTAGGGTTTTAAGATTTCAATAGTAAGCTAGAAATGGCTAGGAAAACCTAATTCTAAGTTTTCAGACTATATTATCCAGTGGTTGTTGAGATATTGATATCGAATTTTATCGAATTTACTAGTAAAATGGGGTGGGCCGCTCGCCTGTATGGGCCGCTCGCTTGTGGAATACGTTAACTAACGTAATCCACCAGCGAGTCGCCCAAACCACCGAGTCGCCCACCTCAACCGTGGCCCACTACCGTAACCTGAATATCTCAACAACTACTGAAGCAATTTATTAATTAGGAAGTAGGCTAGGATCTACGTTTTCTGTTATAGCTAATTGAGGCATTGAACAGGTCTCAACTCGATGTCCTGGCTCGCGACAGCGTCCGCAACGTCGCTGGCGCCTTCCAGGAGCGTCACTAGAAGCACCATTTTGACTGATTATATCTTGATCCCGGCGTTGTTCAACTAATTGAAGCCCATCAGTAATTGAGCGCGTGTCAGCGCCCTTAAGCACCTTTTTTTTGCGTTGTTTGCGCTTTGATAGCGTCTCGTTTGCCTTCCGAAGCTTTCCTATCTCGACCTCCATGATTGAAGCTCCGTGCGCGACCATTTGAACACCCTTTTCAAGGCTTGAAAAGCTTTCTAAAAGCGGTGTTGGGGAGGTATTTTGATCTCTTTGAAGGCGCTGTCGTATGTACTCTGTTTGGGACCCTATTTCAGCGACGTTGCGTGGTGTTTGCGACTCCCATTGAGTGGTCTCTGGTAATGGCGTCGGGGTCCGTAATCGGACATCAAGCTTTGAAATAACAGCTTCTGGATCGAAAGGCATTAATCCTGCGCCTCTGAAGGCGCCCTGGATATTCTCCGTAGCAATTGCTTTTTCGAAGGCGGTCTTGAAAGCAGGTAAAAAGTCCTCTTTCGTGATGTGGTTGATGCGGCACCGGATAAAGTCCTCAATCTCCTTGCTATACGCGCGCTTTAATGGCCCAAAACAGCCAACGTCGAGGGGTTGTAGCAAATGAGATGAATGCGAAGGCATGCAGAGAGTAATGATCTTCTGGTCCTTGCAGAAATCCTGGAATTGGATAGTGTCATGGCTGTTATGGCCATCCATAATCAGAAGCCGATAGGCGCCAGTCGTACGGTCTTCTGTGAAGCGATTAAAATGCTTTAACCACTCAAATCCATGCTCAAGGGACGTCCAGCCCTTCTCGCTAACTGATAGAACCCAATCAGACCTATCCGCAATCGCCTCGTACCAGGTATTGTAATGTCGAGCGCCTTTGAAGATGATGAAGGGTGGGACAACCCAACCTTGCGCGCTGGCAGCAATGATCGATGTCACCCATTCTGTATTGCCTGGCTGCAAGGTTTTTGGAGCCTGACGTCGTTCGGTACCCGTGATGACCATGCGCGTCCCGATTACGCCCATTTGAAAGCCAACTTCATCAAAGTTGTATGTATCTTCATCCAGGATACCGTATTTTGCCTTCACGTTGCGTACGAGGCGAAACCACGCGCCAATAATCTCTGGATCTTCGTTCAGGGCTCTTTTATAGTCGTACTTTCGATTAACACGTGTTTTGAGCTCTGGAACGCGTTGTACGAATCTTGAAGGCCAATTGATACCAACGTGAGCCTGACCGCGATCGCTGAGTAGCTTGTTGGCTATATCTCGCAACATATCGTAATTGAGCTGAAATCCGCGCGCGTCGACATCGAGGCAGTAGTCGATAATCACCCTTTCTTCCATATTTGAGAGCTTTTTCGAATTCGGGACACAATCGCTTCGTGCAGTCATTCCGTTGCGGCGGTCACGTAAGGTACTCCACGGGACGTTGTAAGCTTTTGCAGCTTCTCGAATTGATTGAACTTGGTCTTGTTCGATAGTCTGGATGGCTAGGTTCATTCTAGCTTCATTTGAAGGTAATTGAGGGCGCTGTTGTTGAGACATTGCGAAAAAACCGTGATGATCGCTGTTATGGAGATGAGGTGGGCGACTCGGTGGTTTGGGCGACTCGCTGGTGGATTACGTTAGTTAACTAACTAACTTAGCGTAGTAGCGCTACATCAGCAAGGATGTAAATGGACCTTGGAAGGCTTTGAATATTTTGCTTGGAACAACCGAACCAGTTGCCTTGGGAGCGTTGACTCCGGAGCATTGTCTTGGGACCGTTCCCTCTGGGAGCTCGACTCTGCGCTTCAATCCGACCAGTCCTCATGGTCCGCATCGATTGACCACTGGACCTCAGTCAGGGGTTAGTGATGTAGTTATTGCATATTTGCTGTCCGGTGGGCCCGACATCTCCACATTACCCCAGATAATTATCCAGTCTTATTTACGGGTCCATTCAGTTCACTTGTTCGGTCCGCTCCAGATCTCCACTCTCCGCGTGCGCATCTCTACTCCCTATTACCCCAGGTTCCACTCTAACCGGGGATATCTACGATATCCTTAATGGTAGTACTTCTCCGCACTTACGGCAGACCCCTCAATAATGCGGGGTATAGTGGACGTCTGGGAGATCGTAGGTACTGGTATCTCGGGTGATAATAGACATCTCTACTATGGATTTACCCCAAATGTCTATAACCCGAGATACCGACATCTACGATCTCCCGGGTGTCGATGTACCCCGCATAATTGAGGGGCACACTGTGGTTGCGGAGAAGTACAGATAATCATTTGATTGACCTTGTTTCGAAGTCTCGAAGTGCGATCTTTTCACCACAGTCAGTCCGATTCTAACATGGCCAACATAAAGGAGAAAACGATTGATCCTGAGCGTGGTGATGTGAACGAGGCCACAAGCGACGAAGATGTGCAGCAGCTTGAATACGTCGACACCAATGGCGATGATCTCGCCTCAGTCGACGTTCAGAACAAGAACGCCGTGAAAGGTGACGACTCGGATGGAAAGGTGGATTGGAATTGGAGGCAGCGTATTGCTGTTATGTGCCTGGTTGGCTTGTACACAGGTGAGCGGATGGACCTCTTCTAATTTGAAGTGTTACATTTCCCATGCTTACCAGAATTCAAACAGGGTCTCAGATTCCGGTCTACTTTACTGCCGGTCCTTTGACTTTCATAACTGCTGAACTCGGCGGTACGGCATCTGCAGCATGGCTGCCTGTCTCTTATGGTCTGGCTCTTGCAGCCGTTGTTCCTATCTGTGGCTATTTCCAAGACCTCCTCGGTCGCCGCTATGTCTGCCTTCTTGGGGGTTGTCTGTTGATTATCGGATGCATTGTTATGGGAACAGCACATAAGTTCAGAGATGGTCTTGTCGGCATGGTGCTCTGTGGCAGTGGTGCTGCTATTGGGGAGATGACCGCGCTCGCTGGGTTAGTGAAACTAAACGGGTTACTAGCGAGTACTGACTAAGGATGCTTCAGAACCTCTGAACTCGTGCCTGTGAAACGCCGTCCGATCTACGTCGCTATTTTGACTGTCGTCACCCTCCCGTTCATCCCGAGTGTTTTGGAGTCACAGTTGCTGGCAAAATATTACACCTGGCGCTGGGGCTACTGGATCTGTCTGTAAGTGATTCTTATGCTTACCTCAACCCCAGTATGATCTAATAGGCCCAAACAAAAGGATTTGGAACGCTATCTGCTTCGTGGGGCTCTTGTTTACCTACTTCCCCGTGACACAAACTCGAGCTCGCTCCAAGGATGTGAAAAGAATTTTCACCAAAATCGATTATCCTGGCATCATTCTCTCACTTACGGGGACAACCCTATTGTAAGTCGCCGATGTCTGTTCAGGATGCGGACTAACCAGTCATAGTCTTGTTGCTCTTCAAGCTGGGGGTTACACCCATTCCTGGACGAGTGCTTATGTCCTTTGCCAACTCCTTATCGGCATCGTCCTGATGGTTTGTTTCGTCATATGGGAGTGGAAGTATGCCCGATACCCCATGGTCCCACCTGAACTATTTAAGGGGCAAAGAATCGTGACTGTGGCATATTTGGTTTCTGCGGTGGGAGGTATGTTTGCTACGTACTCACCATAAAGAAGAATGACTAATATTTGCTATCCAGGCATCAATTTTGCCTCCCTAGTCAACCTTCTACCCACAGAATTTAGCACAGTTTACGACTCCGATCCTGTTCAAGTCGGACTCAAAGGATTGTCTACAGGCGGGGCCATCCTGGTCGGGGCATTCATTGGAAATCTTCTACTTCACAGGCTGATACGCTGGACGAGAGAAGTGGTTTTGTTTTACCTGGTATTGATGAGTAAGTTAGTTCTGCTTGTCCATTCAATAAGGAAAACAAGCTCACGGAGCTCACGAATCAGCCGCATTCACGGGCGCCTTCTCGATCGCCAATCCAGACAATGCGAAAATGTCAGTCGCTTTTGCCACTCTAGGCGGCTTCGGTGTTGGCGGCATTATCGCACCCGTGGCCACTATTGCCATGATGGCATGCCCCGATACGCTTATCGCCACCTGTGCAGCCCTCTCACTCTGCGTACGCGCCCTTGGGGGCGCCATGGGCTATGCAATCTACTTCAATGTCTTCAACAGCAAACTCAAAACGGCCCTACCAGCACGGGTCGCTGAATACGCTCTAGCGGCAGGACTACCAGTTTCGAACACCGCAACCTTTGTGGAAACGTTTCTTACAGTGCCCCATCAAGTGTCGACTATCCCTGGCGTCACACCTGAGATCATTCAGGCAGCTATAATAGGCAGTAGGTGGGGATACTCGGACGCATTTCGCTGGGTTTGGATCAGCAGTATCCCCTTTGGAGTCTGTGCGATAATTGTCGCCTGCTTCCTGCCAAATTTGGCAAAGCACTCCACTAACAGAATCGCCGCGAAGATAGCACATTAGCCTATACTGGTGAATTTAGCCAGGATGGCAGGGGTCTTGTCGAACGTCGTCAGAAAACATTCTCTGTCGGACATGTAGGTAACCTGGTATCTTTGAATAGGGAAATCTAAGTTCATCGCCAAAACATGCACAGAGCGACTTCCTGTCGCATTTCGCTGGGAGGATGATTAAGCACGATCGCTGCTTAAGCTCAGTTACTGTAGGGCAGTGAAAGGAATGTTAGGTGGCAGTAGAAACCAACAGGGGCATCTTGTGACACGTCCGTTGATCAATCATTCCATTGAATAATACTAGCACTGCATTCACACATATGGTATGTCACGGGTGCAGCTCTGCCCGTACGTAGAATCTCGCAGTGGATGAGTTGTGTGGATGTCCTTCGGAGCCCCCAAGTGTTCTGGGAAAAGACCTCACGACTATGGACGATAGAGCAAGGCTTCGACGCTGTGTGCCCCTGGAAGGCCTGAATACTATGTAGGGAGCCCTTATAGAAATGGCGAAGGACGGTGGGATGGAAGAGGTTGTGGCTCTCATGAAACCACGGACAGCTCCTGTCGAGCGGAGGGGGGCGATACGCATGCGCCCAATTCCAACCACGGATAACGACGATAGTGTGTGGGTGTAACACAAGGCTGGTCCAGCACATTATATAAGTTCGAACCCCTGCCTGTTGGCCAACCACCTACTTGGCCAGTATCACCATCTTAGCCACCATCATGAAAACCGTGACATCTCTACCACCACGTAATTATATTGAAAATTCAAACCATAGGACTATTGTACAGCATCTTGGGGAGCGTCTGGTATAGTTTCAGCCACGGGAATACTCTGTTCTAGTATAGTATTTGCCTCCAGAAGCCGTACAGCCTCTTGCGCTACTTTGATCTCTTTAATCTGTGCGAACTTAACATTGGGATCTATCCGAACCTTCTTCTTGCGTTTTGGGGCTGAGG